ACAGAAAAAAAAGACGGGTTTTAACAATGTTACTACAACTGTTATTTTATTATTTTTATTTTTATTATTATTATTATTATTATTATATTTCATCATCTGGATCATGCTCAAGTTGTGGAGGCTCGATATTTCGTCTGTCAAGCACAAAGCACGGCTCTAATTAACTGTACTTATGTCATTAATTTCACTACAAACCTTGTGTTATCTTTCCTTTTTTTTTATATTTTATTTAGAACAATACAATACAAGAGATAGATAAAGACAAAAACAGGTTTTACACAGACTAAATCATTAACAACCACACAAACATGAACTTGAGATAACACAAATATCCCTCCTCACCCATACATGAAAACCCCTACACCTATGATAACCAATAAACGACTAATTCCAATTGCATTGTTATATGATTAACAAAACCCACCATAATATGCATATATTGTCCCGTTGTAAATTATAAAGTAGGACCCTTTCCTTTTTAAGGTACTTACGGTTAGGTTGGTTGATGGGAGTTTCAAGCCTAGCAACTACACTTTGGTAATTAAGGCTGCACGTAAACTTCTCAACACCTGATAAGGTCGCTTTAATTTCTAAAACAGAGATTATAAGAAACTCCTAGTAGTATATACATGCATAGAAATACACCTCTCGGTGTATATACAGTATATCCTGTGAGTGCTTGTGCATTGATGTTACTCGTTGTTTTGATGTTTCCATACATCAAGATTTAACATCCACAATCCAAGTAAAAAAATCGTATAACCAAACAGACAAGTAAGAATTTCCCAGACCTGAAAATATGCTGCTATAACATCTGAAAAAATTGCATTATAAACTCGTTCCTCAATGATTAAGGTGTTTATAACAAAAATCATTGATCACCATATCTGCGTACTGGTCAACTAAGATGAAGCCAACGTGGCCGAGATCCTGACACTTCCAGTGGAAGTATGGAGGAGTCTGCTTGTTGGGGCTTCTGATACATTCTCTGGCGTAGCCATCAGAGAGAGGTACAGTACTGTCCCAGACGACCACGCCCGTCCCTGCTAACTCTTGTACTGCGATCTCGTTGTACAACACATAGTTACTGTGTGTTCTGACAGCCTCCTTCGAGTTGTTGATAATAGCTCTCTGCAATGTTCATCAGGAAACAGAGAAGAATAGTTTTAGACAAGCAAGTAAACGTGAAATATAGAATGAGAGCGTAATATCAGAGCGTTGATTAAGCACAACATTTCGCTGTGCGCCTTATCAAGTCATAACTTGATAAAGCTCTACATAGAATGAAACATTGCCTGATAAACCTTGGTTTGCTCTAAGCGTCTTTGTATTGTATTTGTTGGGACTCTAGCCTATTTCAGAGTGCGGTGGCTGTAAAAATGAAGTTTCTCACGGTATACATTAATTACCATACCGTTATTACTAATTTTAAGATCTAGTAAAACATCACACGGGATCATAACTCTCTATACTTTACTTGGTAAATCATGAAATAACTCTTACTTCCTTCGAAGACCATAAGTTTGATCACTCATACTGTACGACCATACAAAGTCTAAACTCCTCCACGTCACCATCCAGTCACTCATATAAGGCAAGGGATGTAGGTCTTATATGAAAGATACCACTAGAATTTATCGGATGTAATTTATAAATAAAATGATTAATTTTACTGCATTTTCAGTAATAGGAGAAGGAACATCAGGGGTATTGTCGACCACATATGATAAGTTCCAATGAGAACTTCGATATATTTACAGTAATAAACAGAATCAAGGAAATGATTAGATGTATTACAGTACAACTGCGAGATTCCAGTTCGGTCCCCAGTGTTTTTACGCCAATTACTAAGATTATGATACGAGGAACTGAGGAGCCCTAAGTTTACTAAATCAATCTTTGGGCTGACCCTTAAGTTGACCCCCCATACACTCCCACCTACTCCTGACCAACCCAGCTTAAGATTTGTTTCCAAGACCACTAAGCATTCCTCTCCCTCCTCTTTTTGAAGATCCTTGAAATTCGACCACCTTCTCAAAGACCATTTCAGTCTAGCACCGATAAGCCATAAGTCGTTGCTGCGGTGCCCCTGCCCCACCATCACCTGTCAGACACACAGGTCTGGTGATCATCCCTGAGGAATAAACCCACAGCATTCTCTATTCTTTAAACCTCATTCAAAAGAGCTCTTGTTCGAGCGGTTGACCGCTCAAAACTGAGGCTTGTCATGTTATATATTGGTTCTGCTATTGTTCAACTTTAAGGGTAGGTTAGGTAAGATTGGTCGGGAAACGGGACCAACGTTTTCTGACGCGGGTCATAGTTAAATGATGATCAGCTATTGCAGCAAAATTTTGGTCATCTGACCGAGGCCTTCCACTGGCTTACCAGTCAACCCCTTCAAAAATTTATATTAAATGCTGAAAGGCGTGCATCTCTCGGTATCAGTGTTAAGGATCCTATCTGGTGAAGTAAAACAGAAGACATCGAGAGGTGAAGTTCTTCACGACACATTACCTGAAGATGGTCTTGCAACTTAAAGACAACAGTGGTTGTGTTAGCGAGGCGAGTCAGGTGTGGTCTTAAGCTCTTGAGTTGTTCCCTGTACTTGGCTGCTGCTGCCTCGGCTCCCTTACTGATATAGATTTCGTGCGTCTTCACCATCCAGTGTAGGGCAGAACCTGTCCACAGAGTTGACAATTTATTTCATATAGGTTTATTAATAAAGTATTTTTTTTGTATTACAAAGACTCGCTAAAAAAAACTAGATATCTGTATACGTAATGATCTTGTTGTTTTGTTCTTGCTGCTTTCTTGGTTGTTTACGGGAGGTTCTATACCCGTAGGGATGGAAGGTAATCAGAAGTGACCTAATTTAGGAAGAGGAAGGTAGTTTTAATTCCTTCAAACAAGTCCTTCAGCAGTATCAAGATCTCCCCCCCCTCCCCATTCCCTCCTTCTCTTGAAGGGTTTAGAGATCAATGATACTCCTGACTCCTTTTGTTTGGTGAATATTGCTTGACGATTTTTTTTTTGGGGGGGGGGGGGTTTTCCTAGGTTAAATCTACATGGTCACCCCTGTATGACTATAATTGTAACTATTATACTGTATAATAGTCTGTAACGTGAACAAGGCTCACTGTGCGGTTTGTGACATTTATTGAGAAAACTTTTCGTCCACCAGGGATGTATAAAATCCTGCTGGACGGAATGTCTTTTCAGTAAATGCCGTAAACTGCATATTGTTTCTATTCACTAACTATAAAATTTACACTGTAAAACCTCTGTCTTGTCTTGACTGTCTTATCTAAGGTCTCTTTCCCTGTGCAGCTTGTGACATGATGCTGTTGACTTCAGAGCATAACTGAGGTGTATGCACAACAGCTCAAGAATTACAGTATCCACGACTGGTGGTTCACAGGCGGCATGTAGTTTTAATGACCTTCTTTTAGTAGATAGTCTTTAAATATAAAAACCGACAAATAAAACTCGTCACTGTAACTACCCACCACTAAAAAGCCTACTCAAAGTGATCATTTTAGCCCACTTAAACATTTGTTATCTTCTTTTCCTCTCTATTCACCTTTCTTAATTCCATATGTCATCCACAATTATTTTTAACTGCTATGTTGTATCCGAAATCTTTTCCCGTTCTATTTTACCCAAAAAAAAAAATCATTTCCTTTCCACTCCCAAAAATTTTCTGCCCTTCTTGCTATCCCTTTTAGTTTAATAAAAAAAACAAACTCCAAGGGTTTTCCCATGGCCCAGCAAAAGCTGACTCAATCGAATTTATTTTAATTGTTATTTTATTCCGGGGAAAACACAAAAATATGTAGGGGGATATACAGCGCCTGGGAAGTGGGTAGGAGGTAATCGGGTTAGATCCAGAAAAGGAAAAATTACTTCAGTTCCTTGGAACATGGTTTCACTAGCATAGGGTACCTCCGTTGAAAATTCCTTTTCTCCTTCTATGGAACGGGCCCATCCTTGAGAGATGGTAATCCCAAGAAATGGAACTCCAGCTCGGGAAGAAAACCTTTTAAAGCGTCCAATTTGGGTTTTTAAAATTAATGGAATACCTGACTAATTTCATTGCTGGTAACATTTTTCCACACTGAAAGGAATGTCCTGTGCCTTGGAATAAGGAAAATATAGCAGCCTTTGTTCTGGCGTAATTAATGAACAAAATAGCAGCACATGCTGATGTATCGAAATTTGGTTTAAAAAAAAAAAGAACAAATAACTAAAAGTTGGGGGAAGTACGAATTAAAGAAAACTGACCAAAAAATGACGAGGGGGGGGAGTGTTTTGTGGAGCCCCTCTCCCACGTCGTCATCTCCTGCAGTACACCTTCAGGAAAGGGTCCCAGGGAACGTCATGCGGAAGTTAATTTCCCTGCGACCCGTGAATTCTTGGCTGTTCATGTAAAACCTCACTTCTTCTCCAGCAGAGTTGTGTTCTCCATTCCTTCGTGCAAATGAAGGAAATAAACATGAGCAACAAGGAGCGCCTATTCCGTCATCTCGAGGTGCATATTCGTTTCACAAATAACCCAGACTGGGGAAAATACTGTTTTAATTTTCCAAAAATTCACCTTTTTATGTAAAAGAGGGCCATACTGTATTTTAATAATATTTAGTCATAAAAAACGGAAAAGCCGCGTCGCGCAACGAGACCCCCTCTGGGTTTTGTTTTGTATTAAAAACGTTGGGGTGAGGGGGGAAGAATTTTTCGTGCTCAGGGGTTAAAAAATTGTGCTGAGGGGCCTCTCAATAGGGGGCAAAATTTGGGGGAAGCTTTCCGCATAATTTGAGATACAGGGACGGAAAAGACCCCCCGGAACCCAAAAGCTCTCTAATTTTGTGTAATTCGGCCAGCATTATTTTCAAATTTGTTAAGTGGGGTTTTTTTCTGAGTATGTTCACTTTAATCTCCATCAAATTGGTGAGTGAAATTAAGATATATTTTCCTTCGTTATGTAATTGGTATATATATAACCATTTTTTTTTTTAATTACAGTCCCAAATTTATATATTTCCCAGTTTCCGGGTGATGTATTTTTCTTTTGATAATTAATAGGTCCAGAGAACTTTTTGGTTATGACAGTGGTAGGGATCGAAGGGGGGCATTTTTTGGACCTAGGTGTCCCAAAAACCTACTTGTCTTGAACATTGAAATAATAATTATCTTTGTTTCATTTACGTTTTGTACATAATTAGTTACATTCAGATAAAAGCAATTTTCCACATTAATTTGCCCTTTGGGCCTTTTTGAAAACCCCGGGGGTAATTGTGAAGTCATTTAATTTGTTAATTTCTTATAATTTTTAGGAAATGAAAAGAAGGAGGTGGGTGTTAAATCACAAATTTTTTTTAATGTGTAGTGGATTTTAATAATTACAATATTTAATTTGATAAGATAAGCAAATGTGGCTAAAGATTATATTAAGTGTAAAAAAGTGTATGGAATTGAAAGCAAGTGTAACTAAAATTTTAAAGTGTATATTAATTTGCTACCAAATTCTGGCAAGGATTTTTTTAATTTGTATAATATTAATTTTTTACACCAAATTTTTTATTAATGTAATTTAAAATTTATATTTTACATGAAATTGCTAACCAGTAGTGGATTTATTTAAAGGTAAGTTGTATTGTGTTGTAAATTGTAAACGTGTTATTAATAAAGTTGAATTTATACATTGCATCATGGTGAAAAGAGGAAATTTAAAGAAGACAAACATATGGAAAAATAGAGTAAATAAACACAATAAACTAGAAAAGTTCTGTAACCAAGGCATATAATAAGTGCTTGGAATTAATGAAACAAAAACTGGAATACTGATGATTTGAAAATTTTATTTAATCTTTAGGAATGAATGATTCATACAAATTATATTTCAAAAATATAAGGAATTTATTTGTAAACTGGTAATGAACGAAAAGATCTCATGATTATCAGTATTATAAAGGGAAAAAATTCTTTCTTGTAAAAGTCAGGCCTTTTAAAAAATTAAAATGTGTAAACCAGCCGTTGGGCAGTCTGCTCCAACAAATAGTTTTTGCCAAAACTCCCAAATTTTTGTTTCTTGTGTTTAATCAGGGAGAAAATTGGGGGAAAATTTTTGGTCCCAATTTTTTAAACGCTGTGCATGACAGGAGTGACCTACCTGTGTAACCCAAAATTTTTTTACCTCAAAGGCAGGTTAAAAGGAGATGCTCCAAACTGATACAAGCCTTTCCCAAGTAGATGACTCTTACAAGGGAAGTTTTTATTGTTAAGGTCACTTATGGTAATATAGAACAAAGTAGGTTGGATCTAGTGAATATTATTGTTAATTTAAAATCTCCAGATCACACTTACAAAGGTTTACAGCAGTTTAGAGTTAAACTGGAGAGCACTCTCAAAACTTTAAGTAATAAATATAATCTGAAGGAATCAGATGGTTATTGAGTGCCATGGTACAGAATAAATTAAGCTGTAAAAACACTTGAATGGCTTGAGTGGCATATCAACCAAAAAGGGACAACCAGCCTTATTCAACTAAAAAATATGTTGGTTCTCCCTTACCATGAAAACTTGGTTGATATGCCTTCTCTTCTTAAGACTTTTTAATATTGAAGTTGTATTCAAAAATCTTGATACAGTAAAAAAACTTTTGATAAAAAAATCCCCCAAAATGCTGATGAATGTATCTATAAGATTCCTTGTAAAATTTGCGATAAAGTTTATTACGGTCAAACTGGTAAAAATCTCGAACTAAGATTAAAACAACATAAATATAGCATTAGAACTGGACAAGATTCCAATGCTCTATTTATTCATGCAAGAGATTTTAACCATCCAATTGATTTTCAAAAAGTTGAGAAAGTAGTATCCAGCAAGTCCATGGTCGACAGGAATATAATTGAATCTTGTTTCATAAAAAGCAGTTTTGACAATAATATGAATATTTCCTTTGATTTATATAAATTAGATTCATTTATAATTATAGAATTGGGAAGAATTTAATAATACATTGGACAAAATAATAATTTTTTAAATTTCTCATTTCTTGGACAGAACAGTTTGTTGGTGGGTAGTGTGAAGGACCTGTCTAGTTCGGTCGGTGGGGCCTGCTGTCTCGCATCAGGTGTTGTGGGATCTGATAGTGAGGTGTGGGCTACCCTTTATATACTCTCCTTTAATGCTTTACTTTCATTGTTCCTTGATAATGTGAGTAGTCACGAAAGCACTTGGAATTTCTCTATTCTTTTCCCTGAGGTACGTTTATTGTCTTCTCTGAGGATGAGGGTCCCCATTCCAGCTATAGAGGTGGTACTTCCCTATATAATAAAAAAAAAAAAAAAAAAAAAAATATATATATATATATATATATATATATTTTATATATTTTTTATATATATATATATATATATATATATATATATATGTCGTGCCGAATAGGCAGAACTTGCGATCTTGGCTTAAATAGCAACGCTCATCTTGCCACATAGGACGAGCGAAAATTTGTGCATGCAATATTTTTGCCCAAAATCATTCTGAACCTAAC